TTAAACCGGAGTACACCGACTTTCTAGTCGGACAGTCTACCACTGAGCTATAAGGAAGATCCCTGTTGCTGAAGCTAGTAACCGTAACTTTGACACTACATACATTGTGCATCCATTATAAAGACAATATGGAGGTCTGAACTATTGCAATGTGGATACAAGATACATTTCAGTCTCCTCAGAGTCTAATGAAGATGGCACAGAAGAAACACATACACACACACCTCCTTAAGAAATACAAGGAACACAAATGTTTCTATTTATGAATTTATTTGACCATTAATTGACCTATACCCAGTTTAAGTTCTCCAAACCAGAACTGACCTTGATACATTCACCCTTGGAAGACTTAAAAACAACAGATAACATAAGTGCGGAAACAAACAGAATCATCAGTGAATGTCACATGCTTGTATACTGGTACTTCAAGTTAAGGACCACATTCACTTGAACTAGTTTTATTTAGAAGTGTATATCTAAACAAAATAAACACATCCTTTATCAGATGTACAAACAATATGTACCCATACATCCTTCATCAGATGTACCAACAATATGTACCCATACATCCTTTATCAGATCCTTCATCAGATGTACAAACAAAGTGTACCCATACATCCTTCATCAGATGTACAAACAAAGTGTACCCATACATCCTTTATCAGATGTACCAACAATATGTACCCATACATCCTTCATCAGATGTACCAACAATATGTACCCATACATCCTTCATCAGATGTACCAACAATATGTACCCATACATCCTTCATCAGATGTACCAACAATATGTACCCATACATCCTTCATCAGATGTACCAACAATATGTACCCATACATCCTTCATCAGATGTACCAACAATATGTACCCATACATCCTTCATCAGATGTACCAACAATATGTACCCATACATCCTTCATCAGATGTACCAACAATATGTACCCATACATCCTTCATCAGATGTACCAACAATATGTACCCATACATCCTTCATCAGATGTACCAACAATATGTACCCATACATCCTTCATCAGATGTACCAACAATATGTACCCATACATCCTTCATCAGATGTACCAACAATATGTACCCATACATCCTTCATCAGATGTACCAACAATATGTACCCATACATCCTTCATCAGATGTACCAACAATATGTACCCATACATCCTTCATCAGATGTACCAACAATATGTACCCATACATCCTTCATCAGATGTACCAACAATATGTACCCATACATCCTTCATCAGATGTACCAACAATATGTACCCATACATCCTTCATCAGATGTACCAACAATATGTACCCATACATCCTTCATCAGATGTACCAACAATATGTACCCATACATCCTTCATCAGATGTACCAACAATATGTACCCATACATCCTTCATCAGATGTACCAACAAAGTGTACCCATACATCCTTCATCAGATGTACCAACAATATGTACCCATACATCCTTTATCAGATGTACCAACAATATGTACCCATACATCCTTCATCAAAAGTGTACCAGCAGAATCTATAAACTTTCTTTCAATTACCTTTCAAAAGTTTTATTACTAGTACAACTATCATTACAAACTTAAACAGCCTGATAACAGAAAGTCAGATAATTACGTAAGTTGGACTGCTAAGGTCTGACTTTTTGACTGCTATTTACCAGCACCACTCCTGATACAGATCAGATTCCACTGATGTACACCACTGTACCTCTGACAGACTAAGAGTGTCTCAACATTTTTTTTTCTGTAAAAAACATCCCTGTGTTTCCTTGCAAACACCCCAAAATGTACACATTAAGATCTTTTATTACTCAGCAAATGTTTTCCAATTTCATGTTAATGTATCTTGACTTTTGAAGAACAGATGTTCCTGGAAATGTGGTATAGATTAACCTTAAGGAAACTTCACTAACTTGATCATACAGAGTAATAACTGATGTTCCAATAAAGGCACACTGAAGCAGACACCTGAGAGAGATTTAAAGGGGATGGAGATATAATTGGACCAAATTCAAAGACATCTGACAGATGAGGGTTCCTATGTTGACAGCAAGTACTTGGGAGGTTTCACTAGAAACAATATGACAAAAATAGGGACATTAATTCTAGCTCCTTTGAACAGTCATAACTCAATGTTTTACTGTATGTTATATAAAGATGATTTAAGACCGAAAGATTTTGTAAAAGGTAGTAGAGAAATGAGAAAGACCTAAAAATAAATTGTCACAACCTTTGTAATACCACAGATGTAACGGGTAACTCCAGCAAAAATGGTTTGAATTATTTCATTGAAACTGGACAACAACTTTAAATTCATAAATGATGAAAAGTTGACATGAGCTAAATGTGTCTACGACAATGTGCTCTCTTCAGTCCAGTGGTTTGTACAAAACACGTTCCATGAACACATATAAATTATTAACATATTTCTAGTCAAAGTCCTTGTCAGCTTCAATTAAAACAATTAAAATATCGTTTATTTGAAACACACCTGTTGTGAGCCTGCAAAACAGGTAAATCAAGACGGGTTAGAAATATAAAGCAACAAATGTATTGCTAGCCCTTACTTCATGTTTTAGACACAAACACATGTAACTAATGTCCTGTCAAAAAGCTAACCTAGCTTTAACCATCAGCACTTCCTAAATCAGACTCAAGAAGGAACTTGACAAACTTGTAGAACAGCATGATTCAACAAAACTGGTACCGATGACTCACAGTCGGGAGGATCAAATCGACCTCCAGCCTCTGAAACTCCATGTCTCTCACTGCCTCCATGTCAAATGAACAAAGAAATCTTACATGTCTTTGAGTCATGGAAAACTCTTGAACTTATCTTAGATTTAAAGTCATAGCAAAATGTTGTTTAATTTAATTTTAGAAGGAGAGGTTTGAATATATATTCTAGATAATATTTTTAAAGTCAAAAGTTCATTTAAGTACAACTTGAGATGTCAAAATATACTGATCTCTACCAATTTGTTTAGAGTGTGTAGAGAATACTTGAATCATTAATTGTAACACCTGCTGTGATGTACCATATTACCCTGCTGTCATGTACCCTATTACTCTGCTGTGATGTACCGATACTACCCTGCTGTCATGTACCCTATTACTCTGCTGTGATGGACCATATTACCTCGCTGTCATGTACCCTATCACCCTGCTGTGATGGACCATATTACCTTGCTGTCATGTACCATATCCCCCTGCTGTGATGGACCATATTACCTTGCTGTCATGTACCATATCTCCCTGCTGTGATGGACCATATTACCTTGCTGTCATGTAACATATCACCCTGCTGTGATGGACCATATTACCTCGCTGTCATGTACCCTATCACCCTGCTGTGATGGACCATATTACCTTGCTGTCATGTAACATATCACCCTGTTGTGATGTACCGTATCACCCTGTTGTGATGTAACATATCACCCTGCTGTGATGTACCATATCACCCTGCTGTCATGTAACATATCACCCTGTTGTGATGTACCATATCACCCTGTTGTGATGTAACATATCACCCTGTTGTGATGTACCATATCACCCTGCTGTGATGGACCATATTACCTTGCTGTCATGTAACATATCACCCTGGTGTGATGGACCATATTACCTTGCTGTCGGGGGCCATATCACCCTGCTGTCATGTAACATATAACCCTGTTGTGATGGACCATATTACCTTGCTGTCATGTAACATATCACCCTGTTGTGATGTACCGTATCACCCTGTTGTGATGTAACATATCCCCCTGTTGTGATGTACCATATCACCCTTCTGTGATGGACCATATTACCTTGCTGTCGGGGGCCATATCACCCTGCTGTCATGTAACATATCTCCCTGTTGTGATGTACCATATCACCCTGCTGTGATGTACCATATCACCCTGCTGTGATGGACCATATTGCTGTCATGTACCATATCACCCTGCTGTCATGTAACATATCACCCTGCTGTCATGTAACATATCACCCTGCTGTGATGGACGATCTTGCTGTCATGTACCGTATTACCCTGCTGTGATGTACCATATTGCCTTGCTGTCATGTACTATATTACCTTGCTGTGATGTACCATATTGCTGTCATGTAGTATATCATACTGCTGTGATGTGATATATCATCTTGCCTTGCTGTGCTATATTACCTTGCTCTCATGTGCCATATCACCCTGTTGTGATGAACCATATTACCTTGCAGTCATGTGACATATCACCCTGCTGGGATGTACCATATCACCCTGCTGTGAGGGACCATAATAGCTTGCTGTCATGGTACATATCACCCTGTTGTTATGTACCATATTACCATGCTGTGATGGACCATATCACCCTGCTGTGATGGACCATATTACCTTGCTGTCATGTGACATATCACCCTGTTGTGATGTACCATATTACCTTGCTCTCATGTACCATATCACCCTGCTGTGATGGACCATATTACCTTGCTGTCATCTAACATATCTCCCTGCTGTAATGGACCATATTACCTTGCTGTCATCTAACATATCTCCCTGCTGTAATGGACCATATTACCTTGCTGTCATGTGACATATCACCCTGCTGTGATGTACCATATCACCCTGCTGTGATGGACCATATTACCTTGCTGTCATGTACCATATTACCTTGCTGTGATGGACCATATAACCCTGCTGTGATGTTACCATAAATCATTGACAGTGTTAACATGAGTTCACCCTTGCTATATATTAAGGGTTAAGGCAATTCATTTGAACTAATATACCTCTTCACTCCAGCAAGCTATAGGCTGAATATGATGCCCTATACTTATAAATCAAGAAGTAGCTTAATGAAAATAAGTTGTAGCATAAGCTTGCTGACACTTCATGCTAGGTAGCTAAAAGAAAGGTGAGGAAACTAAGTTCAGTCAGACTAAATCAACACTAAACCATGAGTAACATTGATTGAACTAAATAATTACTCCATTTTTTTTCCTTCTTTTCCAGGCAAAAGGTAACCAAAACATGTTCAGAAGCTGAGAACATATACCTGTGTACAGTATAAATGAGAAGGTGACACATTAGACTTCATCAGAGGGTGACTGGATTATTGACTGTCTATTTATAGAAGTCCTCGTAGATAACATAAGGGATTCATCAAGATCAATTCTACACTTTGAATAAAGTTTCATTAAATCACTTAAAAAGCCTGAATCAGTTCCTTATCCAATATTAATTAAAATAGATTTTCATTTATTTGTTATAACATTAACGCTAATGACTTCACAGTTACTTCTGTCAGAATGACTGGAGTAAGGTGTTCAGTGGTATTATATACTATTTGTGATGTCCACTGAAGTAAGGTGTTCAGTGGTATTATATATTGTTTGTGATGTCCACTGAAGTAAGGTGTTCAGTGGTATTATATATTGTTTGTGATGTCCACTGAAGTAAGGTGTTCAGTGGTATTATATATTGTTTGTGATGTCCACTGAAGTAAGGTGTTCAGTGGTATTATATATTGTTTGTGATGTCCACTGAAGTAAGGTGTTCAGTGGTATTATATATTGTTTGTGATGTCCACTGAAGTAAGGTGTTCAGTGGTATTATATATTGTTTGTGATGTCCACTGAAGTAAGGTGTTCAGTGGTATTATATATTGTTTGTGATGTCCACTGAAGTAAGGTGTTCAGTGGTATTATATATTGTTTGTGATGTCCACTGAAGTAAGGTGTTCAGTGGTATTATATATTGTTTGTGATGTCCACTGAAGTAAGGTGTTCAGTGGTATTATATATTGTTTGTGATGTCCACTGAAGTAAGGTGTTCAGTGGTATTATATATTGTTTGTGATGTCCACTGAAGTAAGGTGTTCAGTGGTATTATATATTGTTTGTGATGTCCACTGAAGTAAGGTGTTCAGTGGTATTATATATTGTTTGTGATGTCCACTGAAGTAAGGTGTTCAGTGGTATTATATATTGTTTGTGATGTCCACTGAAGTAAGGTGTTCAGTGGTATTATATATTGTTTGTGATGTCCACTGAAGTAAGGTGTTCAGTGGTATTATATATTGTTTGTGATGTCCACTGAAGTAAGGTGTTCAGTGGTATTATATATTGTTTGTGATGTCCACTGAAGTAAGGTGTTCAGTGGTATTATATATTGTTTGTGATGTCCACTGAAGTAAGGTGTTCAGTGGTATTATATATTGTTTGTGATGTCCACTGAAGTAAGGTGTTCAGTGGTATTATATATTGTTTGTGATGTCCACTGAAGTAAGGTGTTCAGTGGTATTATATATTGTTTGTGATGTCCACTGAAGTAAGGTGTTCAGTGGTATTATATATTGTTTGTGATGTCCACTGAAGTAAGGTGTTCAGTGGTATTATATATTGTTTGTGATGTCCACTGAAGTAAGGTGTTCAGTGGTATTATATATTGTTTGTGATGTCCACTGAAGTAAGGTGTTCAGTGGTATTATATATTGTTTGTGATGTCCACTGAAGTAAGGTGTTCAGTGGTATTATATATTGTTTGTGATGTCCACTGAAGTAAGGTGTTCAGTGGTATTATATATTGTTTGTGATGTCCACTGAAGTAAGGTGTTCAGTGGTATTATATATTGTTTGTGATGTCCACTGAAGTAAGGTGTTCAGTGGTATTATATATTGTTTGTGATGTCCACTGAAGTAGGGTGTTCAGTGGTATTATATATCGTTTGTGATGTCCACTGAAGTAAGGTGTTCAGTGGTATTATATATTGTTTATGATGTCCCCTGAAGTAAGGTGTTCAGTGGTATTATATACTGTTTGTGATGTCCACTGAAGTAAGGTGTTCAGTGGTATTATATATTGTTGGTGATGTCCACTAAAGTAAGGTGTTCAGTGGTATTATATATTGTTTGTGACGTCCACTGAAGTAAGGTGTTCAGTGGTATTACATATTGTTTGTGATGTCCACTGAAGTAAGGTGTTAGTTGGTATTATATACTGTTTGTGATGTCCACTGAAGTATGGTGTTCAGTGGTATTATATATTGTTATTGATGTCCACTGAAGTAAGGTGTTAGTTGGTATTATATACTGTTTGTGATGTCCACTGAAGTATGGTGTTCAGTGGTATTATATATTGTTTGTGATGTCCACTGAAGTAAGGTGTTCAGTGGTATTATATATTGTATGTGATGTCCACTAAACTAAGGTGTTCAGTGGTATTATATATTGTTTGTGATGTCCACTGAAGTAAGGTGTTCAGTGGTATTATATATTGTATGTGATGTCCACTAAACTAAGGTGTTCAGTGGTATTATATATTGTTTGTGATGTCCACTGAAGTAAGATGTTCAGTGGTATTATATATTGTTTGTGATGTCCACTGAAGTAAGGTGTTTATATTATAAATTGTTATAAATGGTTTGTCCAAATACTGTGCCTCCCACTGCTACACAGATACCAGTGATACATTTATGTACAGAACAACCAATTCAAGTATATCTGTAATTCATATTCAAGTGAAAACAATATTAACTCACCAATCAATAATGCAAAAAATACCTAATCCAGTATCAGTAATCTTTTACAGACATCTTCTTTCTTTTTGAGTCGTTCAGTCAAAATGTCTGACTCGGCAGTCCTCCCCTCGTCGACAGTGTAGCGTACTGTACCCAGGTATGTACAGGTAAGATAACAAGGGGACCATCATAGCTGTACATGTATGCACCCACAGAGATAGCATGTTAACTCTAGAAGATTTATCTCCTATATATAAACATATAGATAAGTGTCTATATTAAGTACATTCCGCTGCAAGCTCATTAACATCTTGTGGACTCAAACAATAATGAAATTTATAAATATTATATTTATTAGCTGTACTTAGTATCTTCAAATGTCAATGAGTGTTCATTGCTCAGTGCAAATATGGTGTCATAATAAGAATAATTTCATACTCCAATCTCTTAAACTGAAAGCATCCAAGCTTGCAATATGAGCTAAATATTGACTGCGATAACGCTGCAATTTTCTAAAAATCACATTTGATGGCTTCCTTTAAGTAGGCAAGACATGATAGTTTCATTTTAAGGTTTCTCCAAAATATCGTTATTTTTGTTGCTCTGCATTTTAAAGAATAGAGAGAAAACTGTAGATTAATAGGACAGGTGCTGCTAAAAAAACAGAACATGTTATCTTTGAGACAGATGCTGATAAAACAACCAAACATGTTGTCTCTGAGACAGGTGCTGATAAAACAACAGAACATGCTGTCTCCGAGACAGGTGCTGATAAAACAACAGAACATGTTGTCTCAAAGACAGGTGCTAACAAAATAACAAAATATACTGTCTTTGAGACAGATGATGATAAAACAACAGAACATGCTGTCTCTGAGACAGGTGCTGATAAAACAACAGAAAATGCTGTCTCTGAGACAGATGCTGATAAAACAACAGAACATGTTGTCTCTGAGACAGATGCTGATAAAACAACAGAAAATGCTGTCTCTGAGACAGGTGCTGATAAAACAAGAGAATATGCTGTCTCTGGGACAGGTGCTAATAAAACAAGAGAATATGCTGTCACTGGGACAGGTGCTAATAAAACAAGAGAATATGCTGTCTCTGGGACAGGTGCTAATAAAACAAGAGAATATGCTGTCTCTGGGACAGGTGCTAATAAAACAAGAGAATATGCTGTCTCTGGGACAGGTGCTAATAAAACAAGAGAATATGCTGTCTCTGGGACAGGTGCTAATAAAACAAGAGAATATGCTGTCTCTGGGACAGGTGCTAATAGAACAAGAGAATATGCTGTCTCTGGGACAGGTGCTAATAAAACAAGAGAATATGCTGTCTCTGGGACAGGTGCTAATAAAACAAGAGAATATGCTGTCTCTGGGACAGGTGCTAATAAAACAAGAGAATATGCTGTCTCTGGGACAGGTGCTAATAAAACAAGAGAATATGCTGTCTCTGGGACAGGTGCTAATAAAACAAGAGAATATGCTGTCTCTGGGACAGGTGCTAATAAAACAAGAGAATATGCTGTCTCTGGGACAGGTGCTAATAAAACAAGAGAATATGCTGTCTCTGGGACAGGTGCTAATAAAACAAGAGAATATGCTGTCTCTGGGACAGGTGCTAATAAAACAAGAGAATATGCTGTCTCTGGGACAGGTGCTAATAAAACAAGAGAATATGCTGTCTCTGGGACAGGTGCTAATAAAACAAGAGAATATGCTGTCTCTGGGACAGGTGCTAATAAAACAAGAGAATATGCTGTCTCTGGGACAGGTGCTAATAAAACAAGAGAATATGCTGTCTCTGGGACAGGTGCTAATAGAACAAGAGAATATGCTGTCTCTGGGACAGGTGCTAATAGAACAACAGAATATGCTTCTCTGGGACATGTGCTAATAGAACAAGAGAATATGCTTCTCTGGGACAGGGTGCTGACAGTTTATCACCAAATAATTTGGTACAAAGTTCTTACTATACATGTATGAAAGGTGTACTGGTATATATTGATTGCTGGTGATCTTTACTTTCCAGGGTGTTCACAGGTTTCCTCATGTAACAAGTCACGTAAAATCTCACATAACCTCACAGTGCTGTACTTGAGTGACATCACTGACTGGTTCTACAGTTGGTGCTATCCATGTTCATGCATGTTTGCCTGTTAATCACACATACTGAGAGGAACAATCAGGACCCCATCAGAACACATAATGTGTATTAAGTCACAATCTGAATGAAGATCATGTCAACATTAAAGTGCTATGGAGAAAATGCATGAAGGGTTAGAGTTGGTGACATTGTGTAAGAGTTGGTGACATTGTGTAAGAGTTGGTGACATCATGTAAGAGTTGGTGACATTGTGTAAGAGTTGGTGACGTCATGTAAGAGTTGGTGATATTGTACAAGAGTTGGTTAGAGTTGGTAAGAGTTAGTGGCATTGTGAAATAGTTGGTGACATTGTGTAAGAGTTGGTGACGTCATGTAAGAGTTAGTGATATTGTACAAGAGTTGGTGAGAGTTGGTAAGAGTTAGTGGCATTGTGAAATAGTTGGTGACATTGTGTCAGAGTTGCTGACATTGTGTAAGAGTTGGTGACATTATGTAAGAGTTTGTGACATTGTATAAGAGTTGGTGACCTTGTGTAAGAGTTGGTGACATTGTGTAAGGGTTGGTGACATTGTGTAAGAGTTGGTGACGTCATGTAAGAGTTAGTGATATTGTACAAGAGTTGGGGAGAGTTGGTAAGAGTTAGTGGCATTGTGAAATAGTTGGTTACATTGTGTAAGAGTTGGTGATATTGTGTAAGAGTTGATGACATTGTGTAAGAGTAGGTGATATTGTGTAAGAGTTGGTGACATTGCGTAAGAGTTGGTGATATTGTGTAAGAGTTGGTGACATTATGTAAGAGTTGGTGACATTGTGTAAGAGTTGGTGATATTGTGTAAGAGTTGGTGACATTGTGAAATAGTTGGTGACATTGTGTAACAGCTGGTGACATTGTGTAGGAGTTGGTGATATTGTGTAAGAGTTGGTGACATTGTGTAAGAGTTGGTGATATTGTGTAAGAGTTGATGACATTGTGTAAGAGTAGGTGATATTGTGTAACAGTTGGTGACATTGTGTAAGAGTTGGTGACATTGTGTAACAGTTGGTGACATTGTATAAGAGTTGGTGACATTGTGTAAGAGTTGGTGACATCTTGTAAGAGTTGGTGACATCGTGTAAGAGTTTGTGACATTATGTAAGAGTTGGTGACATTGTGTAAGAGTTGGTGACATTATGTAAGAGTTGATGATATTGTGTAAGAGTAGGTGATATTGTGTAAGAGTTAGGGACATCATGTAAGAGTTGGTGACATTGTGTAAGAGTTGGTGATATCGTGTAGGAGTTTGTGACATTATGTAAGAGTTGGTGACATTGTGTAAGAGTTGGTGACATTGTGTAAGAGTTGGTGACATTGTGTAAGGGTTGGTGATATTGTGTAAGAGTTGGTGACATTGTGTAAGAGTTAGGGACATCATGTAAGAGTTGGTGATATTGTGTAAGAGTTGGTGACATTGTGTAAGAGTCTGTGACATTATGTAAGAGTTGGTGACATCTTGTTTGATTTGGTGACATTGTATAAGAGTTGGTGACATTAATTTTGTGTAAGAGTTGGTGACATTATGTAAGAGTTGGTGGCATTGTGTAAGAGTTGGTGACGTTATGTAGGAGTTGGTCACTGGTCAGACACCAGTATACATCCTATGTAACTCAGGTAAGAGTGTTTAATGAGGTGTGTAATACCTGTATAGTATGTATACCTGCATACAACCTAAGTAACTCAGGTAAGAATATTTAATTAGCTGTGTAACACCTGTAAAGTATGTATACCTGTATACATCCTATTTAACTCAGGTAAGAATGTTTAATTAGCTGTGTAATGCCTGTATAGTATGTATACCTGCATACAACCTAAGTAACTCAGGTAAGAATGTTTAATTAGCTGTGTAATACCTGTATAGTATGTATACCTGTATACACCCTATGTAACTCAGGTTAGAATGTTTAATAAGCTGTGTAATATCTGTATAGTATGTATACCTGTATACACCCTATGTAACTCAGGTAAGAATGTTTAATAAGCTGTGTAATACCTGAATAGTATGTATACCTGTATACACCCTACACACCCTATGTTACTCAGGTAATAATGTTTAATAAGCTGTGTTATACCTGTATACACCCTATGTAACTCAGGTAAGAATGTTTAATAAGCTGTGTAATACCTGTATACATCCTAAATAAAACTGTAGATAACATAGATCACACAGTAGCTACTGTGAGGAGGAAAACAATACTTAACACTTGGCCAAGTTTTAACAAGATTTACAAGTGGAAACTGTTTCAATACAACATTGCTGACATTCCAGACATTTTACATGGGACTGAAGGTGCATAGCTGTGGTAATCCTATAGACATCAGTAAAGGATGCCTCAACAATGTTAAGTAGCATCCAAACCAGACGCACCTCTTGTTCATATTTAAAGTGAAACATATATATGATATAGTTTTGTAAATGCCATATTTTCCTATTATGGAAGCCAGAAAATCGACATTTTAAACCAGGTCAAATTTACATTTCAATCTAAATAGATCTATCAAAAGTTGAATATTTGAAAAAGCACAAAAATCAAGAAATTAATTACATATTTGAAAACGTGTAGAAGAAGCACATTTCATAGTGGACCTATGTTGTGTGTTGGTGATTCCACTTTTATGCCTTTAGCAATACTAACAGAACATGACAAAGAGCTTTTACCACTCAATGACCTGGCATTATACAATCAAATTTTCTAAATGAAGAACTCTTGACTTTATCAAGCTTAATGCATTTTGGTGAAATGCTTCATCTGTTTTTATTGATTTCTTCCTTTGTTTGGGAGGCAGACAGTCGGAGCTACTACAATGGTGTCTAGCCAAACATATTGATAAAACAGAATTTGTTTGGGAGAAATTATAGCTGAGGCCTGTCTGAGAGAAAAACTAGCTGAGAACATCACACCCAATCCAGTATCTGGCAATACTTCAGTGGGGACCCAGCAATACTTCAGTGGGGACCCAGCACACGGTGAAACCTAAAACTGACTAGGTGGTAATGAAGTGTGCATGACTGCATTAACGTATTCGTCACTCTAGGCCTTTTATGACAAATTACAAATAAAGGAAAGTGATAAAGGGCTCCGCATATTAGTGATACTTCCATATAAGGTGTTGTCATCATAGAAAGGATGCTGTTTCCTTCAGCTTCGCACTTTATTTAATTGCTCTATACAGTGCACTCACGAAAAGCTCAAATTACGCATTGCTTCTGAGGTAATTATTTTGTCCAGTGCCATATATTTCTATTCCCTTATTGATATTGGATGCCTACACTGCAGGCTATTGACAGAACTTACCTTTATTCCATACTTTTTGTAATCCTATGGGCCATCATAAGTCCTTTCTGTCCATTTTATTCCATGTCAATGTTTGAAGATTTGCTTTAAAATTTCTTACCATATTAAATGTGATCAACACCCTAGCAGCTGAGTAATTTGTAAAATTTTGCTCTCAAAAAATCATGGTGACAAGAAAAAGGATAGTGGATATAGCATTTATTACAAGAAAAAGGATAGTGGATATAGCATTTATTACAAGAAAAAGGATAGTGGATTTAGCATTTTGGCATTAATTAGGGCGAATATGGTATGTACAAAATTGACATCCTTTAGTCATAATTTCTATGGTTTATCCATGATCACATTCACACATGCCTTGTATGCTTTTCCAGGTTACCAGAAGACAGTAAGTGCTTCATGAGGGTCCCACGTTTCTATCAATTAGACAGATTGTAATTATCCTCCTCACTGCTCCTTTTCCTGCCTAATTTGTCATCAGCATGTCATGTCTTTGTAACAATCTGTATTTTTTACACCACCACATCTGGGCGCTAAGGGTACTGTCGCCATGGTAACTGAGAAGACCAGGGCCGAGGGGTCCAGTGAGTTTCCTAGTGACATGATACTCCGATGGATAACACGTAACCCAACAGATGTTCATGTCGACATTTTATCACAAAAACTCTCTCCACTTTTCTAACTATGCTGTTAATGCACAATACATCATGTCTAGTATTTATCATGTACAGTACATCATGTCTAGTATTTATCATTTACAGTACATCATGTCTAGTATTTATCATTTACAGTACATCATATCTAGTATTTATCATTTACAGTACACCATGTCTAGTATTTATCATTTACAGTATTTTACAATGTCAAAACAAAGATTCAAAACTCCCAAAAAAGATATTTTTTCAATTCATAGAATTCAAGTCCAATAACCTGCCATATTTGATATAATAATCATAATCAGCTACCAACCTTTCAAAATACGAACAGAAATCATCCAAAACCTTAAACAATTAAAAGGATTACACTTAAATACTCATAAGACAGGAGCTTATGAATATATCCGGGAAGAAGCTTACAATACACTGCTGGATCAGGAGAATTTATCTTTTTTCGTTTTGATTGTTTTTAGGTTGTCCTGTCGGTTTTTATGTTATTATGGTATAATTAGAGCTCTGAGATAGCATCCAGTCAAAAAAATAACATTGAAATATGACATGTCACATTATGATGTATTCCCGTCATTGACCATATGTCTTGTTAGGGGTGAGTCACTGTTTTGTTCAAATGAGCTACTGCTCAGTAATAATAAAGCTCTCCGCTGTTTATACACATGATCATGAACGGGGACTCCCTGACAGGATGTCCTGATTTTAAGCGACAACCTGGGGCCTATCCAGTGGAATGAGGAAAGATGGAGTGGAGTGGAGTGGAGTGAGGTGGGGTGGGGTGGGGTTTGGGGGAGGGTCCAGTGATATGACAAATGGAAAATGACATGTGGTTGGTGGGCTTAAACTAAATCAGAACCCCCCTCCCCCTTTGCTAATCAGGCT